GAGGAGCGATTAAAACAGGTCCAGCAGGGACCTGGTTTCAAGCAGGGCTTGGGACACCAAACAATAGGCTGCCATTTTGAAGCCACTAGAGCCCACGGTGCTCATGACGACGCGGCGGAAAATACTGTTGCAGGGTACAACCCTTGCTTGCAAAATAAACAGGCCCCTGAGAGTTCATTGTGCAGTGGCTGCTGACGTGCAAAGCTAGCACTGAAAAACATAAACTGTGCTTTCTAAAAATATAAAAGAGCAGTGCCTGAGGGAGGGTGGCTTGGGGCAGGAGAAGCAGATGGAAGAGACCAGCGTTGTCACCGCATCCCTGCGGGATTTTCGGGAAGGCACCTTGCCTTTCCGTGCCCCGCCGAAAGCAGGGTCACACTGGGGACCCCGCTCGCAGGAGCCACCATGCCGTGCAAACAAACCCCCCAGGGAGAGAGGTCCTTTCCTTTATGAGCCCTCGGAGGAGATGATTGCATCCCTCCAGCAAGTTTTGCAGGCTGGCGATAATTCTCCAAGCAAAGCTGTCAGTTTGCGGAGGAGGAGCTGCACACCCTGGCTGTGACTAAGCGGGGGACAAGGGGTGCTGCTGCCCCTGGTGAGCGCCTCGGGTCCTTCCCCGCCAGGACAGCGGGCTTCGAGGCCTCAGGGAAGTTTTGCTGCCTGGCAGGTCTGAAGCACGTGGCCAGATGCACCCATGCAGGGCAGCCCAGCGTCTGCCACTGGGGCGATCCCGGCCGCCGCCGCTGCTGCCTGCAGCTGCCCTTCCAAGCCCTCAGAAATGGAGAGGGCTCCTCAGCCGCTGCCAGCTGCAGTCGAGGCCAGCCAAGGAAGAGGGGCAGAAACAGTTAAAGTAGCTGGTAAATAAAATTCCCAGTAGAAAAACATGGTCTGAGCAGAGAAAAGCATCCTTTCCAGCACTGCCAACCCCACATAGTCAAAAATTATGCATCAGGCTCCAGAGAATCACGGCTTAAAAATCACAAGGGTTTTTGTTCTGGTTTTTAAAGAAAATTATAAATGTTTGAGCTTTTCCTAATTGCACTCTGGTTTCTTGAACTTTATGATTGCATTTTCAAACTTTTCTCCAAATCCCTGAGGGCTACAAACTTCTACATTTTTATTATAAAATAAAGTTGAGAAGCTCACCTAATGCCCACAGCTTTGGGGCAAACAGCAAAGATCAAAAGACTTGCGATAAAATGACGAGAGTAGGAAATACTGGAGATCTCAAGAATGAACACCCTGCAGTATACGTGTCTCTTACCATTTTTCTCCAGTGTTGTGCAAAAACACTTTTAGAAGATATTTCGCTGTTTTAACAAACATCACATTGCTTAAATACTTTATTTGCCAGCGTGAAGAGCAGGTCTTCAGGGACATTTTGCCTCCAAGAACAATGTTGCTTGCAGGCAAGGGCTGCAGAAAAGTTAAAACCGAGGCTGCTGTCCCAGGCTAAGGGGACCAGAGGAGCACACAGTTTCCAAGAGCATGTTTTGTGCTGTGGGTTGCTGCTGTTCACAGGGTGGGGAAGGTTGCGAAACATTATCCAAGGTCAAACCTGGACGTGACCTTCCATCTTTAGCCTGATCCATACAGAAACTTACCGTCCAAAAGGGGCAGGTGGGGACCATCCAACTTACTTTCTTCATCTCCGAAGGCACAGAAAGAACTGCCATATGTCTTCACAGGGATACCTGTGTCACGGGGCAGATTGACTGTGATAAATGTATCAGCCTGTAAAGAGCTTAGTGATCCTCCAAGATTAAAGGCTGATCCGAGTGCAGACTCACTATCATGCCTCTTGAAAGGATCTGCCTTGTAACAGCCTGATTATCGATTGCTGCCTGTAAGAGAACGTGATACTCTCCTTTGTACTGATCCTGTTAGCTTATTCACCATAACACTTGCTGAAACATCCTCCTGTAGAGATAATGACTTCCTTTGGTTGCTGTCAGAATGAACAAATGGAAATAAAAACACGCCGCTAGTAATTGTGTCCTACTCTAATTAAAGCAAGACAAAAGCATTGCCCTGCTGGGTTTGGCTCACCATTGTCTGGGTGCTTGGGCAAGCCTGAGCACAGGGGCTGACCACAGGAACGCCAATAGCCAAAAGACAACGGTGCCTAATTCATTTGTGGCACTCAAAGCCACGAGGTTTCTACCAGCCCAGAAACTCGGCAAAACATCCGGGAGGATGAGGAATACATTTGGTGCCAGAGCGGGATCCAGCACCCGGAGGTGCTGCTCTAGGCAGAGCTCAGCCCACGTGGGCCTAAGGAGCTGCAAAAGGTGAAGGCAGATGGTGAAGGACACAAATAAACAAAGGTTTTTCAACACTCCTCTTGACCTCTTAGTGGTCCGTCCGCACCATGCAGAAAGGCCAATGGCTCAGCTCAGGCAGGAGGCAACAGGACTTTGGCAGGATGGCACATACCGGCTCCCAGGGTGCTGGGGACCCTGAGCCTCCCTCAGACCAAAGAACGCACCTAGAGCCCATCACACCAGGCTTCCAGCCTTCCCAGTGTTGCATCAAGGCACGATGGAGCCCAGTACCACGTCTCCCATCCTCCAGGGTCTTTATCCTCACCAGGCCACCAGGAGGAAAAATGTGCCTTCAATCCCTGCCTGAAGAGGTGGAAGAGAGGCAGAAACTTACTTGCCTGTGTCCTACAGCAGGGGTAAGCAAGGAAATAGGTCCAGCTCTCTTCCCTTGCAAGCGAGCACCATAACCTCTGCATGTCCTGCCTCTTCAGTCTGAATCAGGGTCCCATCACAAGCAGTGCCAGTTGAAGAAAAAGGGAACAAAATAAGTGGGGAAGAAAGAGCAAAAGTCCCCCCAAATCCAAACTAAAAAGCAGCGGCATAACCACATCACTGAGCCCTCACAGAGCTTGCCCTGTAAACTAACAGGTGACCATATCCAAGTACTGCTTTACACCCAGATATTTATTTAGGATTACTCCGCCGATTGATTGTGGATCACGTGAGAGCTTAGCCAGTAGTCCAGGACTGAGCCAGAGGTGGCCAGGCTTCAAACGTCCCTTGGGACATGGTTTCAGGTGCCCCACCTCAGCTGCAGTGCTGCCTTGTGAAGCCCTGCTCTCCCCTGTGCCCGCTCGGGCTGCTCCCTTGGGCTGGCACACTCGGGGTGCCCCGGTGGGCTACGGGAGCTGGGCTTTCACACCAGCCTCTTTGCGGCTGCTGAGTTAAAAGACG